ACATGCAGACGTAAATAATAAACGAGTTATTCGTAAAAACATGAAATACAACTACTTAACAACATTTTATTCTAAGATATGATCCTAGGTATTTTTATAGCACTTGCACATAGATGAGGTGGTTGTATAGATATTGATAATTGTTAATTCCACTTCAAGTTGATCAGCTAATTTTTATTGAAACTATCGTAACTAGGTTAGGATATCCATTTAATACAGTTAAAATGAAAAGGACAGATGGCTGCTTAAGCCAGTTTGTTAAATTTTATGAATATACATGAAACGCAATGGTTAATGGGTCAACGTAGTAATCTCATTGTATAATCCAGTGTGAAATTTGTCTCACAGACTGGATAATTTAAAAACACTTGTAGCAGATAAATGAACACTTTTAGGAAACTAATCGCATAGAATTGTTCTATGATATACTTACAACCTGAAATGATGATAAAAAATGTAGTGTAAATATATAAAAAGAAATAATTAAAGGGCTTAAGTTATTAATAAAATATTATATACCCAGTGATAAAATGACACTTGGCACACGAAACGTGAGAAAATTCCAATGTATTAATGAAAAATTTAAACTTCGATAGCATCTCGTTAAATATGATACACGAACTTAGAAAACGAAACATTATGTCAATTGCAACGAAAAAAAATTATGCGACGTCTTTGCCCAATTATACAGGAATTTAAATTTCATTCTAGTAAATAACAGTCAAGTAAACGAAAAATCTACTTAAAGTTAAATTTGAAACTGCAAGCAAAACTAATGTGTTTCAATTAAATATTTTAGGTAATCTTACTGGTAACACAGGAGCACCATTCTGAAAGACCTACGAAATTAATCCGTTTGGACTTATGGCTGTATATCGGTTTTTCCTACTTTTCTAGAGGCCGAGAGCTTTATTTTAACACCACATCCAAGCTGGTGGTGAATAGTACGTAATTACAAAATGTGTATAAACTAGTTGAACTTTTCCTTTATGTTTTTCACGTTGCTCCAGCGACTTGGTTTGGTAGAGGATCACTGTTCCATTATTTTCTAAGAGGGACTGACCAGTTAACAACTACCTGATCCTAGTGTATTTGGAGTTTAAATAACTGTCTGTTGTCACCTACCTCTACCATCTTTTTAATATTATTACTCCCCTCCATCGCTTACTATAGCTGTGCACAATTTTCGTCATTCTTCATTTAATCAGAATGGGTTTTTGTGGAGAGTTTAAGAAATTTCACAAGTTGAAATCATGAGTCAGTTGAAGCTAGACCACCATTTAAAACCTGGAAGCATTGGACGGCCGTTTCGTCCTGGTATGGGACTCCTCAGCAGTGCGCATCCACGATCCCGCACCACGCGGGGCTCGAACCCAGGACCTACTGGCATCGCGCGCGAGCACTTAACCACTAGACCACTGAGCCGGCATCCAACGGTGTTATTGTCTAACTTCAACCAATCCACGAAGTTGCGCCACCGTACACCATTGTCTTCAGTGAGTTGGATGCCAGCTCAGTGGTCTAGTGGTTAAGTGCTCGCACGCGAAGCCAGTAGGTCCTGCGTTCGAGCCCCGCATGGTGCGGGATCGTGGATGCGCACTGCTGTGGAGTCCCATACCAGGACGAAACGGCCGTCCAGTGCTTCCAGGTTTTCAATGGTGGTCTAGCTTCAACCGACTCATGATTTCAACTTGTGAAATTCTTCATTTAATTTGCAACTACTCACTAGCATGTTCTCGGACTAGGAGGCTACTCATATGCAACGGCTTCCCTCTATCTTCTGATCTAGATTATTAACGAATGGCTTATCCTATGAATACTGATTTTTACAGCTTTAGTTACAGTCACATTAGGAGAAGAGACTTTCGTTCATTATCAGATTTATTATGCCTTATCAACCGGAGACCCCAGAATATATATTTATAAAACCTATAGTCCTGTTTAGTGTAAGTTTGAAATCGACGCTAACCAGTGCACACAAACAAAGACAAATGTTATAAAAAACAGTTAGATGGACACATGTACACATAAGATCAACAAGACAATAAACTCAGAATGATCTGACATATAACATTTAAAATCGACAGAAGGACATACAGCCAAAGACTAGCATAAATCATACAGAAAAAGACTTCATTGTCATACAGAATAAATATCTCAAATCTAAATTTTAGGCGACATATGTGGTCATCCGAGAGAGGAAATATCAATTATATGGAAAATTTGTCGTAGAAAAGAATACGTAGGTAATGTTGGTGTTCGTTTTGTAATTTATGGATGAAATGATAATCAAGAGCAGAATTATTAAGCCTTATGAGAGATCCTTAAAACACTAGTAGAGTGTAAACATCTTTATATATATATATATATATATATATATATATATATATATATATATATATATATATATATATATATATATATATATATATATATATATATATATATATATATATAGATGATCAAAGTTTGTGTCTTCTACTTGTAGCTTATATGAGCTTTCTCATGCCAACTTTGTACACAGAATATTATCATCTCGATTTTGAAACCGAAAATGTACTAGTCATTTTAACTACCTCACTTTATGGCTTTAAGTTGATTTTGCATTTCTCATCTATTTATTTTTTATCCTTTTTACTTTTTAATACTCTGGTCTGTTTTTTTTTACCTTGGAAGCAGTTATTATCACCTCACTATTTATCTATGATAGAATCCTTAATTCTTTTTTTTTGAAAAAGCTTGTACGTAACCTGTAATTCAGTTCTTAGATTGAGACCGTTGAATTACGGTCGTTTTTTATGAACGAGTTTTCATCAATATGCTGAATTAATATCTCCAGTTAACATAAAATTTCTTAACTTTTCTTCATAGATTTAAATCATATTCTTTATCTTTCATATCTTCTTACACGATATATATATATATATATATATATATATATATATATATATATATATATATATATATATATATATATATATATATATAATGTGATCTTAAACAATAAAAATACCTGATATATATCATTATTCACACAACTAAGTATATATGTATATTCATAAATGTATACTATATATGCTATGACTAAGTATGTCATAGGGATATGCACAGTTCTATGTATATTCACACAAGTTATAGTTTATCTATATCCATAATCATTTTCTTAAAATAAATAAGACTATACAGAAAAAAATCGTTAATAGTATTTAAAAACGGGAGCTGAAAGATTTCAAAACCCCAATGAATCTAAGTGGATATCGTATCCCAAAAGACTTATTAAGAATCAGAGATTACAAAACAGATATCAATTTATCTGGATCCATGAAGAGAATGCAGAGTATAAAATGTTCAAAAGCAGTTTAGTTACGCAATGATGTATCATTTATTAACCATAAACAACGTAAAGCTTGACCCCGATTACCAAGCTGAACATCAGTAACATGAGAAGGAATTAACAAACACAAAAGCAAAACTTTCAGTATCACAGATAGAAAAAAATTAAAAACAGGATGCAGTTGGAAAAAACGACTGAGTCGGAGGACGAAAAGTACTAAACAGTATTGAAACTGAAGATTATGAAATCGATTAAGAATGAGTATATCTGTCACACTGTGACTGATGTGAAAAACTTATTATCCAACATCTGCAAACATTGATTACATTTATTTCAGACTCCTCACTCCTTTAAACGGTGTACACCGACGGAAAATGAATTAATGAACCGATTTCTCATAACTTTTCTTCAACCTACTCCTCCTATAATACTCAACCCAGTTCACTCTGATAAGCAGCCGCTTGTTAACTGTAGTAAATGTCTCAACTATGACTATCTATGAAGGTTAACACCATCAGCAACTGAGTTTTTCAACCTATTCCCTAATGCGTAAACTCAGGACTACCTACCTCATGAGCCTACCGTACTCCAGTAGTGCTTCGAAGTAAAATATTCACTTTGAAGTGAACTTCTGCACCGGATACTCACTCTCTGATAGGTAGACGGACACATCGCCTATGTCAAAGTAGCATTTATTGGCGAAGCAGAGGGAGCTTTTAAATCCATGTCTAGATTTTGTCAGACGCCCATCCATATTCAAAGTGACCAGCCACCTTACTTTCATTTGATTATGTATTGACGCCTCCCAATTCTGAAGTAATAATTTGAATTTTGAGTGGGCGAAGAGTATTCTAAACGTTCTTGGACTGTTCCCTAAGGCAGTAATATGATTCAATCTAACAAGTCTTAGAATACTGACCGAATACAGCGAATACAGCTAGCAACAAATCCCCCAGGCGAAACATTACAATATAATAAGCTTTTGTATTTAGTTGTGGATGTTTTAAGAAAGCCGACAGAGAAATATGGAAATGGGTTTCATGCCTGTTACTATTCATCAGCAAGCCACAGTTACAACTTGAAGACTAATGACCACATAAATACACGAAATCGGGTTAATCAGCCTACTCTAAACACCAAGTCAAGAAGCAATCAAGAGTACGATTCAATAAGAATTAAAACTTGTATATTTGTTATATCTAAACGATTTAGAAAGTTTAGACCGAGGACAGAAGAGCGACATTCTGGTAACGGGTGAATAGTTACTAAAATAAAATCCAACAACTATTAGAAAGAACTTCGTATTTCAAAGGCAATACTACTGTCGAAACATTCGTAAATATTTATATAATTATCCCGATCAAATAATGTTGCATGGTTTTCAGCGTTTACTTACATTTCACGGAAGGAAATTAATGTTTTATGCACTTCAAACAATATATGGATCCAATAAATTGATTTGATGAAAAATTTCAGTGAGAAACTGGTTGACCACAAGTCAGTTACTGAGTCATATCACTAATGTGCGCAAGGATTTCTAATAATAGCACTTAGAAAAATGAACATAAATTTTATTGAAATAACAATTCAAACTAATATGAAAAACTGAACCAGTCATTCGTTCATTACGACTTAAGAAAAAGATAATTAGATTTCATGAACTTACGATAGAGGAGACTATTTAGTGATGGCACATTGGCGCTAAATGCATTCTGAGTTGAAATTAGCGCAGAGTTATGTGACAAATATGAAGTTGCAGATTCAGAATGTTCTGAGGAATCATTTCGCGGTAAACCATCTGAATGAACACGGGTGCAGTTGTAAGAATAATCTCCAGGACGTAAATTCTGATAAGGCTGGTACTGACTCTCCTTCAGTGCACCAACAGATGCTGTATACTTAGCTCCTAAAGCAGATAAAGACCTCAAATGATCAACTGCTTCAGCTGCTGATATTAATGAACCCATTGCTGAGGCTTTGGAAGATAAGTGAACAGGACGACTTACTAATGCTTCGTATCTCAAGCCAGAGAACTCAGGGTCACTGGGATTAGGTTTTGTAAAAGCTCTTGGTGGAGTTGACGAGTTATGAGTAGAATCAGAACCAGCTTCAAAAGATAGTACTCTAGTACTTAAATCTTTTGGATAAAAGCACTGGTTTTTGTCCGCATTTGGTTCCTTAGAGTAATTTCCTGTGAATTGAGGAATTCTCGTTTGACCAACCTGAGAGGAATAATCTTTACCAGGGCAAGATTCCTCTGCTTTACTGACTTCCTCGTCTCGAGTTAGTGGACAACACATAGACTCACAAGACCACATTGGTGCAACTCGATGGTAATTATTACCAGCTAAATTGTATGTCATCTGCTCTGACTTATGAGAAGTGTTTAGCGTGATGGTGGACGATTTACCTGAAATTAAATTGTCAGTATCTGACATTGGTGTGCTGGATTGATTGTACGGATGAGACGACTTTATCGATGATGGAGCGTTCAAAGATGCTGTAGACAGATGAGGAGATAGAACTTGAGGTTCGGCATTCGAAACACAACCTGGAGTACGTTCTTCGACACTCGGAGGAGTACTGACACTACCTGAGGTTAAAGTTACCATTGATGGGAGCTGGGTAGATTGTGCATCATTTCCATTTTTGTTATGAATAGGACGAGAGTTGATAGGACCTGAAAACTGTTCCCCATGTGTAAAATCAGAAAGATTAAGTGGTTGACCATCTAAGTAGCTCTGATGTTTTCTCGCTCCAGCTGTTTCTCCGATTCGCTGTACTATAACACCGAAATCTTCTAGCATTTCGCCGAGTGTTTCTTGATCTAGAACCTTCTTTACACCATATGAATCGTCGCGTCTGGAATTTTCTTCACTCTCAAAATTGGATTCTCTCATCACATGACCTCTTATTCTATGATCTTTATGAGCTGAATCAGATTTGTTTTGAATATGCATATATCTACGAGTTAAAATGTCACTATTTTCACCATCGTCGAATTCACCATCGGGACTTCGGAACTTCGTACTCAGTTCTAAGAGATTTTCTTCTCGTGGAAAACGAAACCTCTCCGTTGAATAATTAAAGCCTTCTGACTGTAGTTGTGAATGAATAGAACGAAAGCCATTCGGGCGCTTTAAATTATCAATAATCTCGGAGTGGGTATTATATTGCTCCATAAGATTTCTTTGAGAACTGATTTCATTGGAAAAGTTAGTATGGATATTATCCGATATTCGTTCAATATGATATCCCCCACTACCTTGATGTTTTCTTGCAATACTACCACAGGATATACCTATTCCCGAGGGATGATACTGAGAGTGATTAAAATGGTTAGTTCCTGAAACTGATTCATCCCGTGGGACTTTCACACTCAAATGGAAATGTTTACTAGATCTTTCACGACTACGAGAAATCCGACCTCTTCTAAACCCGGAGCTTCTATAGTAGCCATAATGATTGGATCGCTTATCCTTCTGTGAGGCGTTTACTAACTGTGATGCCATAGATTCTGCTGCACCAGATTCTAAACAAAATATGCGTTGAAGATAAGGTTGTAGTTGCTGTTGAAGTTTCGGACGCCTACCGCGTCTTCTTGGAGGATTCGGGGCTATTAGGGAGGACTCAGATGACATTTGCTGCTCAAGTAATCCAATCATATATGATTCTTCACGAGTGAAGGGACGAGCAGTATGAAAAGCAGCTCGTACGACATGCAACGGCTGGGCTACGAGAGCATCATTCACTTCGTCAACAATTTCACTAATCTGGGTAGTTAGCTTTTCTCCTATCACGAATGTTGGAAGTACAGATAAAACGTGTGATTTCGCTTTTTCGAACTCCTCAACGGAACCAGATAACTCTGCACGTTGAAGTTCTGAAAGAATATTAAGCAAAACCAAGTTCAAACTAGACTCGTTAGTTCCAGATTCTGTTGCGATGGCACTGGATGGCGACACCAAGGGTAATGGGGTTGCACATGATGATTGAATATTTTGTCGACAAGGGAAAATTTGGCCATTGACACAGTGGTTTGAGTTATCAATAAATTTTCGTTCCGTGTTCGAACGACTTGTTTCGAATCCTCCACTGCCAAATAGGTCTGGTAGATCCGATTCTTTGTCAAGGCTATCCAAAATCCCACTAATCTCTGCGTCAAGAGGCCCAGGAACCTGGGGAGCACATGTGTCTAAAATATCAGCCATTCGATGACGTAAAGTTGGTACAGGTGTAGATGTTCGTGTTACTAAGCCTCCAGCAGTGCAAGTTCCTCTGTATTCCAGTGTCTCCGGATGTTGTGATGAACAAGACGAAGGCATTTGGTGGTGAATATCCTTAAAATCACAATCAATATTCCCATCCTTGGCATGATGTATCTGATAGTGTTCGTTCAAACTTGATCTGTCATAACAATTATACAAACAGAGAGCACAACTAAAAGGTTTTTCACCAGTATGCTTGCGATAATGAAGGTTTAGTGTTTCTTCACTGCAAAACCGACGCTGGCAATTAGGCCACTGACACTGATATTTCTTTTCAGAATCTAAATTTTGAAAACAGTAATGTACGTATGAAAGTTGACTTTACAAAACATAATATATAGTAACAATAACAAACCATACTATGAAGTGACATTTCTGAAAGTATGGAAAATCAGGCGAACGAATGAATGCCTCTAACTGAAACTAATCATACATGGCAATAGCTATCTCTACCAAGACCCAATGAGTAAATGTCACATTTCAAAATATATTACAACAAAAACCAGAAACGACGCACTAATATAACATTCTAAAAAGTATACCTACTGTATACTAGTATATCTACCGAACTGACGGCCTAAGTGGCTAATGTGGCATTTGTACATATTTTCCGTCGATTAGAAGTCAACGTCAAGACATAAATTCACAAACGATCTTCATGTGGCTCTAACGGTGTTATTATATTAATGATTGTACCGTACTTTTTACGTGGCTTGTTTTAGTAGATGATGTAATGATGGATTTAGTACAAGTATCTGTAACAAAGATGAGATTAAAGACTCACTGTTTTCGAAAATACTGAATCAGCAACCTCTTTCCAGTCACCTACGAATAATACAATAGATTTGCCATTTAAATGTCCTCTCTCCAATTGTAATCTAACATAAGAAGAACCGATTAGTAGTAATGACTTGATCATAACGACCAAACTGCAGATTTGTTGGTCACGCCAATAAAAAATATTGGACCAGATGAAAGACTCAGTAGATGCCCAGCTTCCAGACCAACAAACCGAATTCCGTACGAACCGGCCGTGTACAGATCAAATAGAAACACTACGGATCATCGTTGAACAATCAAATGAATAAAACTTATCACTACATATCAAGCACCTTGACTAAGAGAAAGTGTTTGACACTGTGGATAGGACCTTGTGGAACTTTTCTTGACACTACAATGTACCCGAGAAAATTGCCAACATCATCCGGAATTCATATGACGGAGTACACTGAAAAGTCGTGAATGGAGGACAGTTGACAGACGCATTCCAAGTGAAGACTGGAGTCAGAAAAGGCTGCTTACTCTCCTCCTTTGTCTTTCATCTGGCGGTTTGTTGGATTGTGAATATTTTCACATTTGAGGGGAAGCACAGAATGCAATGGACAGTTTGGATGTGACTAGACTATTCGGACTTCGCAGATGACCTAGTCCTTCAATCCCATACACAACAGCAAATGCAGATGAAGACAACTAGTGTGGTGGTAGTCTCTGTATCAGTAGGCCTCGACCTACACAAGGGAAAAAGCAGGATCCTCAAATACAACACAGTGAACATCAACCAAATCACACTCGATGGAGAAGCTCTAGAACAAGTGGAAACATTTACGCACCTGAGCAGCGTCAATAATAAATAAGGAGGATCTGATGCGGATGTGAAGGCGAAGAGTGGCAAAGCAAGGGAGCACTCAGACAGTTAAAAAACATATGGAACTCAGAACAACTGTCTGCAAGCCAACACCAAAGTCAGAATCTTCAATACGAACGTCAAGGCAGTTAGTCCTATTGTACGGAGCTGAAACTTGGAGAACTATCACAACCATCATCAAAAAAGTACAAGTACTTATAAACAATTGTCTACAAAATATATTCAATGTCCGTTGACCGGATACCATCAGCAACAGCCTACTGCGGGAAAGAACAAACCAACTGCCAGATGAAGAGAAAATTAGGAAAATATGTTGAGAGTGGATAGGATACATATTGGGGAAACCATCAAACTGCATCACGAGGCAAGCGTTAACTTGGAATTCTAGAAGGAAACGGAAAAGAGGAAGACCAAAGAACACATTGAGCCAGGAATCGGAAGCAGACACGAAAAGAATTTCCCAGGAAAGAGTTGGGTAGAGCATGCTAGTGGGCGGCCTATGCTACCATATGAGGGTTAACAGGCGTAAGTAAGCAAGTATCTTTTCAGCTTGAGCTCAATACTTTAGTAAAATTCTATTTGGTTCTGGTGTACGACTTGGAGTCACTAAATTTAGTAGTGGAGGTTATCAGAAGTTAACCCAAACTAGTAGTTTGATTGCCATATGATAAAGTAGAAAGTTTCACTATTCATTAATCAGGTCTAAACACACAATCAGAAGGGTGAATTCTCTTAAATTTTACAAAAATTGATCGGATTTAGACTTCAGATGAGAAGATATGACAAATCCTAGGTGGGAAATGCTATCCCAGTCAAACTAGTCATGTGATAATTAGGTACGCTATGTAGAAACTCGACATATTGGGTTAGCGATTTCAAAAGAAAACCTAAACATAGTTTGTTTTATCGATTGTCAAAAAGATAATAACCAGGCTCAAGTTAGTGGAGATGTACGACCATATAACCGGAACAAAATTTGCAGAAAAGCCTTACAACCATTATTAATGTAAATTCAGACTGTTTCAAAACAATCCATTTTCTGTACTTGTGACACAATCAACAAAACTACAGAGTTCATACTGAGACGAAATATTGGGGGGAAAATAACCACCATATCCTTTACATGTAATTATTTAAATTTAATATGGTGGGCTTTCAATTGTTTGCTTTAAAATAAGAAACAAATCACATGGTTTGACAGCAACAAAGGGTCGAATCAATCACCACATAAAACTAAAAGATGGTGATTGCATACATGGCATCATATTGAATTCAAAGTTTAAAAACTGCAGATCTAAGTTGCAAAAAGCAGGGGCATTTAAATAAACTTGACTTATATGCAACTTATGATGGACAGTAAAAAAAAACTAAAACATGGATTCTCAGTTTTCGAGCTACTTGAAATTCCATTCATGATGCTGAACGGGTTCATGACACAATGTAACGATACGCTTTAATGAAAAATTCTTACCGTCATGTGTGGCAATATGACGCTTTAAATGGGTTCTTCGGTGAAAAACTAGGTCACATTGTTCCACTGGACATGCGTAGTTTTTGGGATGTATTCTGTGAAATTCATCCCTGTGATTTTTGAGATACTTTGGTGTACGAAAAGCTCGATCACAACCTTCAATGTCACACACATAAGGTTTTCTTGGATTGTGTACATCTGTGTGATATCTTAATCGTAATTTCGTCTTGAATACTCTGCCACATTCATTACATCGATAAGTGTTGCACTGAGCCATAATACAATCATGATCACGTAGAAGAGTCTCACTTGGAAAGCGTCGAGAGCAACCTTCACAGTGAAATTCTTGAGAATTAGCAACTGTATGTATCGACTCTATATGTTTGATTAGGTTCTTCCCATACTGTGTGGAATACGGACAGTGATCACATTGATGACGCTTTACGCTATGATTTTCATGCTTCTTCATATGATTTCGTAGAGAAGATCGGTTAGGATACGCAATATGACAGACTTTACAAACGCAGTCTTGGTTAGCCCCAACTTTCTCAGCAAAAATATCATTTGAATGAATCACATCAAGTGAGTTGAAAGATAGGCCATATTTGTATCCAGGTGGTAATTCGTTAGACTTATGTGGTAAAGTATTTGAAAAGTGGAAATACGTATCAGATAAATCTGTTTCCTGCTGATGCATCGGTCCAGGAATGATGGTATTATTACCCGAAATGGTATACGGTGGGGAAAGATTATGTTTGGGGGTGAGAGATGTATTAAGAGAAGCAGGACCGCTGCAAGAAGTTGGTGATTCAGCGACAGATAATTGGTGAGAACGATATTCAGGAGGAGTGGAGCTACCATCTATTACCTCAGAGGATTCATTGGGTTTTGCATGAATAGAAACAGGACCACTGTGAGGTGTATGATCAGAAACTGGCATGTTTGTGGCGTATAAGCCAGATAGGGTGTGTTGGTCACTCACTTGGACTGGAGAGTGAGCATGATGTTTGATTGGGGTAGCATACCGATCGAGTTGTTTTAATCTTTCTTTAAGTACTGGATTATTAGCTAGTCGTTTATCGTCATCACTTGTATCATCATCGTCTGTAGTAGTGTCTGACTCGGTTTCCGATTCATACTCCTGAGGTTTTGTGAGATCTCTTCGAATGAAAGTCTCATCTGAGTTTCCAAGATTGTTTCTCACAAGTTGTGAAGGGATTAGACCAGAATTTGGGCCAATTAAACCAGAAGCCGCAACACTTGACATTTCAAATGCACGATAACCGACAACACTTCTGTATTCTCATTGAATTATTTGAGGTGTGTTGACAAATCGAAAAAGGGTTTATGTGTAAATGTAATTAGCGCTACTGTAAATAAGAATCCACAAGTTGTTGCCCTAAGTGGGATCGAAAACTCAGCAAATTTACAATAGTTCCGCTTTAAGCAGATGACCTTGAAGACTGATAATTTAAAGGTCGTATTTGGGGACTAATCACATATATTATTAATGCTTCCAGTTGCTGAAAAGATGCATAATACACGAACTGAAACCTTTCACACTAAAGATATGTGCTTGTCTTATATAAACTCATTGGTCATGAAAGCCATAGTTTCAGCAAAAGAACTGTATTAAGATATAACGTCTGTGTTAGTCTTGTCTTTAAAGATCTATAAGCCAATCCGATTTCAATTTGAAATGCATGCACAGAGGCAGTTATTGTCATATGTTGAAGTAAAGGATTCCGCCTGGTGACAATTCGACATGAAAGTCGCCAGTCATTATGTCGCACCTTCGTTTCGTGTATTATTTACAGTGACAGATAAATTTATTCCTTTTTGTAACAACAATAACATGTTGTTCCTTCTTTTCGCTATGTGATATTGTAGATATCGACATATCCATATTCAGTATGTACTATTTATTTGTATCAATTATAAATGAAATTAACCTTTCAACTTATCGATACTACCACTACTTTTTCTGAGTGACACTACATGCCTCTTCACTTTGTTTCCCATTTAACCTTGGTTTTATGTTCACCTCTATAACGTGAGGTTGTTGGCTTACATTACCTCATGACTCCGGCGGTGCGGAGTATGCAGAAGTTCATTTAATAGGATTCGCGAATTCTGTTTGTGATGAAACCCGGAAGGAACCCCTATATAGTATTCCATTAACGATGTTTTGTTGTGACTTTTGTCATTCACAATGTGAATCTTTTGCTTTTGTGTTATTCCCAGACTTATATAATTACGTATGCTCAATTGCTGATTGTTAAAATTTGATTGTCTGCTGGGAAGGTTTACTGGTACCCTTGGAGATGGGTATCTGGTACCGACTTATTGGGAGTATTTTTATTGATCCTAGGGTAGAGAAATCTTAATAACTGACTATTTTCTTTGTTGTTTAACACATTGTTTTGTGCAAAAGAAACAGTTGACTGTATGGCACATCGAGTTTTTAAATGGTCAGAGGACATGGAGTATGGTTAGCATTACTGGATTTTGCCTAGGTAAAAGGTGTCTGTTCTCTATATAAGCCACTAAAATCCTTTAATCAAGCCTCGATTTGTAGCGATCAATATTAGATAGTGGCTATATGGAATGCTTAATAATATATGAATGTTATTTTCAGTTTCGTCGTTTGTACACAAAATGTGCATCTCACTAGTTCGATAATCAATTTAGACACTTGCGTTGTAAGTTTTGACCGTGAGTTCATGATATCTGTGTTTTATGATTAGGTGATAGTGGTGTAAAATTAAATTATGTTCTGTTTACTTCTAGTGTTCTTAATTTTCTAGTTACATCACCTCCACGACCAACTGCAGATGAGAAAGGCATTTTTGAAAAGGGTTTGTAGTGTCAGTTATTATGTTAAGCCTTATTCTAGCTTTCGGACATCCCATTTCATTCATTCTACTTGAGCCATACTTTGACCTTGTTATTTATTCACTTATCAGTCTTCACTGTTTTTATATGAGCGTATATGTGTGTGCACGTCATATCCCATGACTCATTGCATGTTTGTAACTTTATTTTGTCTGACTATAAATATTGAGTAACGCTTGACTAAAATGGAATTGGCTTTCCAGCCATCTTCCCTGCATGTCATTTTGCTTTGCTTTGTTTCATTTGCTTCATATACAAAACATATGTATGAACAGATCAATTCTCGTTATTTGAATTATTTCATTCCGTTTTTGGCTAATGCGATTAAGTCGACGATTATATACGAGAATAGGCGATAACAAACATCCATACGATCTAATTGGAGTCAGATCCACGGGCCACTAAAGGTTGTTATGAGTTGGCGTTATCCTAGTTTCATCATTGTGAACCTCGGATAGACTGTATTGTTGTGGGTAGTTTAGTTAATTCAAAGGCTGTTATGACTAAGAGGCTACAAAGAACGAGTTTGAGAATGCTTGATGATCGTGGTTATTAAGATGTCGTTCTACCCATTTTGTCAAGAAAATCGTTGGTTAACTTGGCAATCATAGGTATGGATACGACATTATAGTGGTGGTAGTTACTGGATGGAGAAAACCGATAATGAGGGACAACTAGAAAGAGATTAAAGAAACACTAACGTCAATGTGTCAGAAGGTTCCGGGCAGCAAGAAGTATCACCATAAAGAATAGTTCTCTACCGAGACAGAATAGAATTCAGGAAAGGATAAACAAGGGGATAGAAAGTAACAACAGCCAAACAAGAAAAAAAATATAAAAACATAGGTCAACTACGCAGAGACAAACAAAAGAGCGAAGTGTAGCAGTTGATCAGATAAGCAGAAATACTCAGAAGACCTTGTAATGATTGCTCGAAAAGCTGCTAGAGAAAGAAAGATCAGACAACTAGATTACATAACAAAGAAACCGTCAGGGAAATATAGTAAACCAGAGAGACCGGTCAGAGACAAAGAAAGCAGGATAATCAGAAAGATTCAAGAACTCTCGGACAAATCAACGCCAATGGACCCAGAAGAAATCAAGTCAGCACACGCGGACCTTCCTATAGCTGCCATTCCACCAACGATCGAAGACATCAGGCTGATCATCAAAAAACATAAAGAGAGGAAAAGCAACAGAATCTGGTGATATGCCAGCCAAAGCACTGAAGTCAGACGCAGATGTAACTGTAAACAAGATCTACGTTCTATTCAGGAAGGTTTGGGAGGTCGTGTTCGAACGACCTGTTTCGAATCCTCCACTGCCAAATAGGTCTGGTAGATCCGATTCTTTGTCAAGGCTATCCAAAATCCCACTAATCTCTGCGTCAAGAGGCCCAGGAACCTGGGGAGCACATGTGTCTAAAATATCAGCCATTCGATGACGTAAAGTTGGTACAGGTGTAGATGTTCGTGTTACTAAGCCTCCAGCAGTGCAAGTTCCTCTGTATTCCAGTGTCTCCGGATGTTGTGATGAACAAGACGAAGGCATTTGGTGGTGAATATCCTTAAAATCACAATCAATATTCCCATCCTTGGCATGATGTATCTGATAGTGTTCGTTCAAACTTGATCTGTCATAACAATTATACAAACAGAGAGCACAACTAAAAGGTTTTTCACCAGTATGCTTGCGATAATGAAGGTTTAGTGTTTCTTCACTGCAAAACCGACGCTGGCAATTAGGCCACTGACACTGATATTTCTTTTCAGAATCTAAATTTTGAAAACAGTAATGTACGTATGAAAGTTGACTTTACAAAACATAATATATAGTAACAATAACAAACCATACTATGAAGTGACATTTCTGAAAGTATGGAAAATCAGGCGAACGAATGAATGCCTCTAACTGAAACTAATCATACATGGCAATAGCTCTCTCTACCAAGACCCAATGAGTAAATGTCACATTTCAAAATATATTACAACAAAAACCAGAAACGACGCACTAATATAACATTCTAAAAAGTATACCTACTGTATACTAGTATATCTACCGAACTGACGGCCTAAGTGGCTAATGTGGCATTTGTACATATTTTCCGTCGATTAGAAGTCAACGTCAAGACATAAATTCACAAACGATCTTCATGTGGCTCTAACGGTGTTATTATATTAATGATTTTACCGTACTTTTTACGTGGCTTGTTTTAGTAGATGATGTAATGATGGATTTAGTACAAGTATCTGTAACAAAGATGAGATTAAAGACTCACTGTTTTCGAAAATACTGAATCAGCAACCTCTTTCCAGTCACCTACGAATAATACAATAGATTTGCCATTTAAATGTCCTCTCTCCAATTGTAATCTAACATAAGAAGAACCGATTAGTAGTAATGACTTGATCATAACGACCAAACTGCAGATTTGTTGGTCACGCCAATAAAAAATATTGGACCAGATGAAAGACTCAGTAGATGCCCAGCTTCCAGACCAACAAACCGAATTCCGTACGAACCGGCCGTGTACAGATCAAATAGAAACACTACGGATCATCGTTGAACAATCAAATGAATAAAACTTATCACTACATATCAAGCACCTTGACTAAGAGAAAGTGTTTGACACTGTGGATAGGACCTTGTGGAACTTTTCTTGACACTACAATGTACCCGAGAAAATTGCCAACATCATCCGGAATTCATATGACGGAGTACACTGAAAAGTCGTGAATGGAGGACAGTTGACAGACGCATTCCAAGTGAAGACTGGAGTCAGAAAAGGCTGCTTACTCTCCTCCTTTGTCTTTCATCTGGCGGTTTGTTGGATTGTGAATATTTTCACATTTGAGGGGAAGCACAGAATGCAATGGACAGTTTGGATGTGACTAGACTATTCGGACTTCGCAGATGACCTAGTCCTTCAATCCCATACACAACAGCAAATGCAGATGAAGACAACTAGTGTGGTGGTAGTCTCTGTATCAGTAGGCCTCGACCTACACAAGGGAAAAAGCAGGATCCTCAAATACAACACAGTGAACATCAACCAAATCACACTCGATGGAGAAGCTCTAGAACAAGTGGAAACATTTACGCACCTGAGCAGCGTCAATAATAAATAAGGAGGATCTGATGCGGATGTGAAGGCGAAGAGTGGCAAAGCAAGGGAGCACTCAGACAGTTAAAAAACATATGGAACTCAGAACAACTGTCTGCAAGCCAACACCAAAGTCAGAATCTTCAATACGAACGTCAAGGCAGTTAGTCCTATTGTACGGAGCTGAAACTTGGAGAACTATCACAACCATCATCAAAAAAGTACAAGTACTTATAAACAATTGTCTACAAAATATATTCAATGTCCGT